AGTGTGGCTCATGCAATTCCTTGTTCACATTTCCAGTACTATAAAAATAACCTGAAATGAAAAGTTCTGGACTTGTTGGCTCCTGACTCTAGGTATTGTTAGCTCCCAACTCTACCTTGTCCCTTCCTGAGGGAGGATCAACATCCTGCCTTGGGCAAGGGGAGTATAAACCAACCTCTGTTCACCTGCGGATGCAGGCCTTGCAACCTGACCTTAAATCTAACTAGAGATACCCAGGGCTGAAATGCCATGGTTCTCTCTCTCTCTCTCTGTCTCTCTCTCTCTATCTCTCTCTCTCTGTCTCTCTGTCTCTCTCTCTCTGTCTCTCTCTCTCTGTCTCTCTGTCTCTGTCTCTGTCTCTCTCTCTCTCTGTGTGTGTGTGTGTGTGTGTGTGTGTGTGTGTGTCTATATGCACATGCACCCATGCATGCATCCCTGTGTCTGGCCTGGGACTTGTCCTGAAGTCTCTGCAATAAGTATGAATTAGCATGCGGGACTAAGTGTTTTTCCTATAGCAGGTTCTAGGGATGAAAAAGAGGTCTCTGCCCCACCCTGAAGGTGATTCCTGGTGTCCCTGAAATGTTGCCACTGCACAAAACTAGAATCTTAGATTCTTATAAAAGGGCAACGTTGTCTTGTGTTGACAAAATATCAGGACCAGTTCATCAGGTAGATGGTGGATAGGGCTTTGGGCACACTTTGAGCTCTGACTGAACTCCTTTGCTGATCACGAGTTCATGTCCCTGCTGGTATAGTGGGAGGCTCCAAGGAGTGGAGAGCCAAGTATATATGTATGAGTCCTCGTTCACCTCAGCTGTCAGCCTGACACAACCTAGAGCCACGTGAGATTGGGGAACCTCAAATTGACTAGGTTAGATTGGTCTGTGGGGCCATTGCTTTGAATGATGGTTGATGTGGAAGGCCCAGCCCTCTGTGGGCGTTGTCATCCCTAGGCATCCTTAGGTGTGCTAGGGCTGTGTCAGAAAGCTATGGGAGGACAGGCTAGGGAGTGAGCCAGGGAACAAGCCAGGAAGCAGCCTTCCTCTATGGTGTCTGCTACCATTCTTGCTTGAGTTCCTATGCTGACTTACTTCAAAGATGAACTGTAAAATATAAATCAGATAAACGCTTTCCTTCCTGTTGTAGAATATTATTTTAAGGTGTGTTCCTTTTTGTAACACATTTGTTTAACTCTGGGAAACTGTGTTCCTGTGCCTGTCTAAATAACCTGATTGGTCTAACCAAGAGCTGAAAGGTCAATAGTGAGACAGGAGAAAGGATAAGTGGGGCTGGCAGGCAGAGAGAATCTATAGAAGGAGAAATCCGGGAGGAAAACTGACGAAGGAATGAGAGGTGAAGGAGGAGGACATCAGGGGCCAGCCACCCAGCTACACAGCCAGCCACGGAGTGTGTGTGAAAGTAAGATTACAGAAGGAAGAAAAGGAAAAAGCCCCGAGGTAAAAGGTAGAAGGGGTAATTTAAAGTTAAGGAAATCTG